AGGTCATCCCGACTCAAAGTTAATCCACCGTCCTTTGCCAGTGTCTTGGAAAAAGATGAGCTATTGACACTACTACTGCCAGAACTTGTATCAATACTTCATATTGCATCAAATGAATTCACATCAATCGGAATTCCCATATAACTAAAACAGGAGTCAGAAAATGTAGGCAAACCACATATTGAGAAGATCCACGATAGGCCACGGTTTCCCAAGTTCATTAACCACCCATACCCATATTGTACATGGAACCAAATTTCACAGTTATCACTCTAAACACATCTATCCGGTTCGTTGCTGACTTCCCTTGTAAAGATGCCACATTGTGCCTTCATCCTTGTCAGATGCAGTGGAGTGAGGATAAGGCGGTCAAGGTTTTTTTTATACCCACCTAATGTCAGTAGCAGTGCATGTATACAATATGCTTTTGTGCATAACACGATATAGGCAAATTCACTTGAATTTTTCTTTGGAAGAACATCTTGAGTTGCCTATCTATACAGGGCGCTAACACAACGTCGCTCTCCACAGCCATAACAAGGAAAGTTCTATTGGACAAATGGTTACGATGCTTGCTCTAAGCCCATCACCACTGCTGATGGCGCTAATCCTCCAAACCCATCGCAATTTGTATTACCCCAAATTACAATGTACAACACACAAGAACACTTCTAGTTTTAATTAATTACTCATATTAATCATAATTTATGCTTCCTTTAATTACACATGTATTGTTTTACATCTACCTTACACTTTAATCCACGCGTGTTTCCAATATATGCCTTCTTTTTTCATTTACAGCTTTTTATAACATGCAGACAATAGATGCGCGCAAATATCTGGAAATTCGTTTAATTGGCTTATCTAGCTCCCAGACCTATGTTCTTGAAGTCAATGGTTCTTGAATCCTGAATGCTGAATAATTTAACACATAGCAACCAATGAAAAGTGGTGTTCAAATGAATAAATGTTTCTCTTTGGATGACGTCAGCCCATCCTCACCTATACATTTGATAATCATGTCTTTGCATTGCCCCAGAACGGCCACGTGTGCAGTCTACTTCATATACACTAGACTATGTTTCAATAACCTCAGTCATTCTCAGGTCTGGTAACCATGAAAACATCCTACAGTACTCACAAGGTCACATCGCCCGCTAGTTTCCAAATAATACAGCCTCGTGAACGCATCATTTCTATTTCGGCTAAGTGAAAAAATGAAGCAGTTTCTCACCCCTGGCTTCCTTTTCCCCAACCACCTGCTCTATTTTTAATTCATTTTTTCTTCATTTTTTAAATTGTTATTTGCCAGATCATCATACATCTCAGCATGAAGAGCTAGAAAACACAAAGACGATGGCATAATCTTTGTAGATGACACAGCGACTTAAGTGATCTTAAACCACAGCAGGAAGCTAGGTGACTTCGGGGTCCGAACAGATTTAGTTTAGCGAATAAAGGGACCGTGTGATCAAGACAACCAACTTTTGAAATAATACGAACAACTCTCTTCTGCAAGATAGTTAAAACCAGGAAATATGAACGACTAATACAAAGTTATCAGAGAATACGGGGCACGAGACGAGGATATCGCTTGATGTAACAAGAATAGAGAAGGACATTGACAAATCCGACATGTCTCAGTCTAAGTCGCATCAAGAAGACGAGTTCACAGACTTCCGCTCCCAGCACGAGTTAACAGTATCAAAGGAACATCTTATACCTTGGAAGGGGCAGACTGGTGACCAACACAGACCCGTGGCAGTTCCAGTTGACGTCAACGTTGGTGGGAGCAATAATGCTACGTTTCTTGGAACTGTTGACCGACCTACTTTCCATATTACTCAGCATATACATGTATCTGCCGGGGTCAATCCAGGTAAATATTAAAATGAATGTATTTGAAATATTACACAGGAACATTGCAAGCAAAAAAGGTGACTTTGTCAACAAGGAATGTGATTCATTGGTTATTTTTTCCAGTAAAAAAAACAACACACAAACTAAGAGGCCATTCAAAATTTTCGATGTTTTAAAAAAAATTTTGAATTAAAAAGATAGAAAATAGCTGTTTTGACTTGCCAATTCAACTCTCTGCGTTCCCGCAATTCGTAAACCCTTTCCCCGTCCCGTTCGGGTACAGTGTGCATCCTTTACATGTACAATGTACCGAGTATTGTGTACACGTCCATCGGAGCACCATATGCATGGGGACCAGTGAAGTTAGACTTAAAAGCATGCGTAAATCAGTGCACCGTGCAAATGGAGCGGGATACCAGGTTAATTTTGTCTTAATACACGCCACAATTGTCGGTTACAAATCGAGACAACGCAATAAACCTACTTGTGTTCAAGACTACTGAGGCACCCTGCATGCATGCGCATGGGGATGCGTGCAATGAACATGGCAGCGCCCACACGTATGGAAAGCGCGAGTTGAGAGTTCAACTGTTTTTTTTTCTATAAAAAACGACTGAAATTCCTAAAAAAACTTTTCATGAATAATGGGAGTCATTACACCTCTTTACGCCAAGACAATTTTTGTTGAGCGAGCTGATATTTATTATTACCGTTTAGAATGGACTAGTTATCAGCTGGATTCCCAATACGTACGGGAATGCTAGTGGGCCGTGATGTTGGTAAGGTACTGTATACGGACTGCAGCTGCATTCCGCCGTCACTGAACTGGACATTCGCTATGTTTTTTATTTAATGGAAAATCAATATTTTAAGATGAAAAAGCGGGGTGGGTGGGTGGGTCAAAACAATTTGGAAAAATATCGACATTTAAAAACATCCAGCATTTTGAACGACCCCTAAGGTACGGTGCATTAACAGGTGTGGGGGGGGGGGGGATATTTGGAAAATGCGTTTGGAAGCAAGGCTTCTCGCAAAGTGACTTTTCTTATAATATGTTTTGTTCAGACTGAATTTGTGATGTAGTTTCATTGTTTTTTTTTCAGAGACCAATCGTCAAGCAGCGATTTCAAGAGGTCATCATGAAACAGTAAGTATCAGTAAAACCAACAGATTACGATTGAGTCCGTTAGTTTAATTGACATTCTAATATGCTAAAAACAATGAACATGAGTTGCTCCAGTTTGCAATTGTTTTAAATTGTCGTAGAACTTACCGACATTTTCATGCGATGTCTCAAAATTTCGGCGTTTAAACAGCACACCACGTCTCAGCATATTTTATATTGCCTTCAACTATTATTTAAAATGAAGCCGAAGTTAAAGGTTTTAGAATGTAAAATATCCGTCCGATAACCATATGGAGCATCGACGCCCTTGGTTTTTTTTTTTTTAAATCTATGCGATTCCCAACTTGCATGGTAAACCATGTATGTTGTACCGTTCTGATGAAATTAATCAACCAGAAGTCAGTGATTTCAATATCCGCTTCAACATCCGATTCAAACCGGCCCATCTCCTCCTGCGACCTATCCGTTGAAAAGTGTCGGTGTTTTTGCTGGCGTATGAATCGAAAGTGGTAAACACGTTTTTGTTGACAAACTTTTCCTATTCATGATCGGGGCACAGTGATTCCAATTTCCCCACGAGTGAAACATTTCAAATTTCTTAGGTTATTTTTTTGTTTATTGTTTTTTTTTTTAATTTTTATTGTTATTGCTTTTTGTATTCAAGGCTTTTCCGCATAGTTGCGGAAAAGCCTTCCTTTTTGTTCTGTTTTCTTTTTCTTTCACACAGGTTAATGAACAATTGAAGTGAATCATCAATTTGCAATTAACTGGAATCAATCTAAAGTTCAGTTCTTTGAGTTTGAATAATCAAAGAGTTTCTGCACTGAAATGGAGTTGCTTATTGTTCAGCAAGTTCACATGAGATCTGGTTTCTTGCAGAATATTGAGTTAACATTATATTGAGTAAGCAGATCGGTGTCCATTAAAACTGAAATTGCGAGTCAGAGTGTTGGGTCTTTTTCTCTGATTGATTGGGTAAATATCCAAACACTAATTATTGATTTGATGAACTCAATGAACTGTGCGACAAGGCTAGTGTTAAGACATGATGTAATCTTGGTGCCAAACTGGTGCTCTGGTATCTGGAACTTCTGCTGGTTGCGGATCCTTAGGTGTTAACGCAATGTCTAGGATTGGATCTGGTGTTCGTTTGGACAGCAGGATGATGTGACTTCTGTTTCGACGGTACTCAGTGCCGTTGATGCAGATGATGTAGGACCGCCGAGTACCAGCATGGCGTACAACTTCAGCTTCTGGGCTCAACCGTCTCTCGGTTCGGATCTTGACCTTCTCTTCAGGTGTCAAATCATCCAGGTATCTTGCAATCTGCTGCCATGGTCTCTGTGGTAGTTGTGTAGACAACAGTGGCTCGGCTCGTCGTGGTGGTTGCATATCCTGGCAATGCAGGCAAGACTGGGCATACTGAGCTGTGTCGGTACGTATGCAAGGCCACCAAACTGCTTGATTGGTGTTATATACTGACTACGGAGACGAGTGTACGGGAATCAACATGTCGTTTATTAAGACACGCAGGTCACGAGTCAACTGTAACTACGGTGTTCCATATGTGACATCTCCTTTTCTTTCATTTTTTTTTGTAACACACAAAAAACAACTATTTGAAATGTCTGGGAAATTGTTTAGAGTCCAAAAACGTCTGGGAAATTGTTTAGAGTCCAAGTGTGATTAGACACATTTCCAACTGTTCATGAAGAACTCAACATTGATAGTTTTTACAGCTTCAAACTGAAGTGTTTCTTGAGTAAGTTCAAAGTTCAATCAACTGAACTATTTTCATCCTTTTTGGATAATAACAAAAAAAAATTGACACACACTTTTTTTTTATTTAATCACTGAACCGAACTATGCATTAAGTAATCAGAAGAAGAATCTGTCTGAAGGAGAACTTTTGAAGTAGATTCTTTATAAGTCCAGGCGTTTTGGTGGTTTGCTGAGGCGTCCGCTTCTCGTCACATAGGTCGGTGGGGCTGCAATGCTGGTTTCCGTGGTGGGCTCAGGGGGTTTGGCCATTAGCTGAAGTGGCAACTGGTGTGGTGACTGGCAAGGTTACGTGGTCTGAATCTGCAGGCGTGCAATGGAGAGGCTTGTTAGCTCCATGGGTGGCAAGACGAAGATCCCGTCTGTTTCTCCTGTATTTTCGGCCATTGTGCTCGACCACATAAGAGCGAGGTGTTGAGTGATGATTAGCAACTGTAGCTGGGAGCCAGCGGTTTGTACCAGGAAGTGGGGCCATTCGGACTGGATCTCCAGAGATGAGTGCAGGAGGGTTTTGGCCAGCTTTCTTGTCGTAGTAGAACTGCTGTTTGGTTTTGTCATTGTCGAAGCGTTGCTTCACTTCTTGGGTGCTGTATAGCTTTGGCCGCAGTAGTGACTTCGATGTTGGTAGCTTATTACGGGGTCGGCGTCCCATTAGTAGTTGGGCTGGAGATATGTTGCAACTAGCTAGCGGGGTTGTGCGATAGTCGAGAACAGCCAAGTGTCTGTCTGGGCATTTCTTCCATGGGGGTTTTACAGTTTGTACGGCTCGTTCTGCCTCGCCATTTGACTGTGGATTATAAGGTGAGGAAGTGATGTGTTGTATCTCGTAGTCCTTGCAGAACTTGCTGAACTCAGATAAAGAGTATTGTGGGCCGTTGTCCGTTCTCAGCTCTTCTGGAATACCATGACGACTGAACTGCTCCTTCAGTGTGTCTATGACGGCTGCGCTGCTCATATCAGGCAACTTGTCTACCTCTATGAATGTTGAGTAGTAGTCAATCGTGACGATGTACTGTTGTCGCTCAAAATCAAATATGTCGCAGGCTAGTTCGCTCCATGGTAGGTCTGAAGGCTTGGTGGGCTTCAGTGGTTCTGCATGTTGACGGTTTCTGGTTGGTGTTGCACAGATAACAGTCTTGAACAAGGTCTGTGATCTGTTCGCTCATGCCAGGCCAGTGAAGGGCTTCTCGAGCTCGTTGTTTGCATTTGACAATGCCAAGGTGCGATGCGTGGATTTGCAACAGCATGTCAGCTCTCATGCTTGGTGGTACAACAATGCGCATACCCTTGTAGACAATGCCATCAGATACTGACAGTTCGTCTCTTGAGGTCCAGAATTGTCGGATGGAGTGGGGAGTTTCACCCTTAGTATCAGGCCATCCCTTGAGGATCATGGAATGCAACTCATTGAGCTCATTCGCTGTGCATTTCTGGAACTGGGTGTATCGTGCTGGCGTCACGGCAATGAAGTCGGTCATGTTTACTACTACTAGCTTCATGTCTGGCTCGGATTCTGGTAGATTGGCACGGCTGAGTGCATCTCATATCAGTATTTCTCCGCCAGCCTTGTACGTCACGATTAAGTCGTAGGGTTGGAGTCTGAGTAGCATCGCTTGAAGTCTCATTGGTGCACTCTTTGTGCAGATCAGTGGTAAGCCAGTTCATGCTAGGCTTGTCCGTCTTTGACATCTTGATGTCTTTTACAGGCCTCCGTAGATTTTATTTTCGCCGATGTTGTGAGTAGGGCTCAAATTTCTGCACGAAAGTGACGAAATCAGGAATTTATCTGCATTCCTTTGGTGAACTTGTCTGGTTCTTTTACCCTTTCAGAAAATTTTCAGGGCTCCTTAAGTCTGACACCATTTTAAGTGCTGACTACGGAGACGAGTGTACGGGAATCAACATGTCGTTTATAGACACGCAGGTCACGAGTCAACTGTAACTACGGTGTTCCATATGCGACAATTGGCTCGGAGACGGCTTTTCGAGATGACTTGATGACCCTCATGAATTCTCTGCAACATTTGTTGTCTCAGGCTCAGTGGTATCACAATGCAGTCGCCATATGTGAGAATACCACCTTCTAGGCTGATCTTGCCCAGGACCTTGTCATCCCAGGACCGTCTCAACTCTTGCTCAACATCTTTCTGGTACTTCGGCCACCCATCTTTGACGAAAGAGATGACTGCACTCAAGGTACGGTCGCGGCTGGTTTCTGCGGCTATTTCCAACAGCTTCGCATCAGATATGGGCCACTGGGATGTGATCAAGTAAACATGGGTCTCGATCTCGTCTTCCAAATCTTCATTGGACTCTGCCGTTTTGTCACGATGGAGAGGGGCTGGTGAGAGTGCGTCGACCACAACCAGGTTCTTACTCGGTGTGTACTCTGCATAGCAGTTGTACTTCATCAGTCTCATCAGTGGTCGTTGGCAACGCAGGGGGCATCACAAAAGTCCTTCTGGCTGATTAAGGACACAAGGGGTTTGTGGTCTGTCTAGAGCGTCACTCGTAGACCACGGAGATAGATGTAGAAACGCTGGTATGACCAAACAGCAGCCAGTAGCTCCTTTTCGATCTGTGCATAACGTTGTTCTGCACGTGTCAGACTTCGGGAACACAATGTTACTGCAGGACTCGTCTTCCTGCTTCTGAAGGATGTAACCACCGATGTCATTACTGCTGGCGTCAGCACTGACCATTATTGGCTTTGTTGGGTCGTAGTATGCAAGCGTTGGGCTGTCGTTAGCAGAGTCTTGAGTTGTCGAAACGCTGTGCGTTGTGCTTGGCCCCAAGTCCACTCGGTGTCGTCTTTCATCGGGTCGTTGATCGGTGCGGCTACAGAGGCTGAATAGGGTATGACGTGAGAAAGCCGGTAGACCATCCCCATCAGACATTTGACTTCCTTCTTCGTTGTAGGTGGCGGCATTTGCAGGATGGAGTCTACTTTGGCAGGGTCAGGATGAATTACTTCCTTACCAAGTCGATGGCTGAGGAAATCCACCTGTTCTTGTGCAATTTTTAACTTGTCCTTGTTTAGCCTCAACCAAGCTCCTTGGATGATTTTGAGAACATGACGAAGACGTGCATCATGTTTCTGCGATGTAGCGCCAGTGACGAGAACATCGTCCATGTAGACGACGACTCCAGGGAGATTTACCAGCAGATCACTCATGATTCTCTGGTTCAGCTCGGGTGCTGACGTTATGCCAAATGGCCAGTGATTGAAGCAGAACCTGCCAAATGATGTGATGAATGTGGGTAGCTTCTGGCTGTTAGGATGGACAGGAATTTGCCAAAACCCATGCTTGGCATCAGGCATGGTGAAGTGCTTTCTGGCCACGGCTTTGTTCAGCATTAGCAGATCCACGCAAATTCTGATGTCCCCAGTTTTCTTGGGAACAATACATTTGGGGCGCACCAATCAGTAGGATCTGTGATGGGCGAGATGAGGCCATGTTTCTCCATTTTGTCCAGTTCTGTCTTGAGCTTTGGATGCAGGGGCAAGGGGATGCGACAAGGGGCATGGACACAGTGTGGTGTGGCATTGTCAGTCAGCTTTATCTTCACTGGGGGGCCGCGAAGGCATCTGGTTCGCTTGAAAACACTGCTGTCATTGATCAAGGTGTACACACGCTGCACCAGGTTAAGGGACATAAAGGCATTTTCCCAAAACTGGCTCACCATCATCAATTACGAGGAAAGTCAGAACATGGTACTTGCCCTTGACTTCACAAGATAAACGCTTTGGCCCTCTCGGTTTCACTTTTCCGACGAAGAAACCACACAAACAGGTTGTAGGCGTGAACTGCAAGGTCGTGTCACGGAGCTTGAGGGTGCGGTTAACATGTAACGGCGGTATGTTTACCTCTGACCCGGTATCGAGCAGGAGGATGACGGGCTTGTCCTCAACAACGATGGTCTGACGCCATGGAGTGTGTTTGGTCACTGTTGCCCGATACTAAGCCGACGAAGAACTCAGTCTTCAGATTCATTGCGAGCAGTCACAGCTCGCGTGTGTTTGCGCTTGGATCGGCAAAGTTTGCTGAAGGGTCCAGTTTTGTGACAGGACAAGTTGCACTGCTGGCCTCTGGCAGGGCACGTTGCATGACTTGAAACGTATCCGCAATTGGGACACCTGGCTTGACATGTGTTAGGCTTGGGCGAATGAGTGTTAGGCGTTTTCTGTCGAGATCGATGTTGTACTGCTTGAACAGCGGCTGTGTTGTGTGTTCCTTTGATTTCGCGGAGATCTTTGGTGGCTGTCTTAAGAGTGTTCGCGCTTTCCAGGACTTTCTGAAAGTGAGTCTGTCCTTTGTCAGAAGAAGTTTCTGAACGTACTCCCTCTGGAGGCCACACATCAGGCGATCACGCAAAGCATCATCCAGAAATTACCCAAACTTGCAGGGGCTGGCCAAGTTTAGTAGTGCAACTGCATACTGAGCGATGGGCTCATCGGTGTGTTGATCACGTTTGTAAAATCTGAAACGCTCTGCTACAACTAGTCGCTTCGAGCCGGAGTGTGACACAAGCGTATCACAGAGGTCTTTGTAGCTCTTCTGTGACACTGGAGTTGGTTCAGCTAGGCTTTTTACAGTCTTGTAGACAGCAGATGCAAGTGCCTCAACAAAAGTGACGGTTGTTTCGCCGCAGGGATGTCATTTGCAACAAACCAAGACGCTCGATGTAGTTGCCTATGTCTTCAATCTGGTCGTAAATGTCCAGACGGCCGATGAGCGGAGCGGTAGATACTGCTTTCAACGACGGGCGCCATCACGGTGTCATTTTTTGATGTGAAAAGTGGATGGCAAATGATGGCTATTTCATCCTGAGTCAACTACCACTGCCACCATGTTATGATACTGGGTTTAGGTCGATGAGAATTGACAAAGAAATGAGGGGACTCACCATTTGGGGTTCGCCTTGCGGGCCGCCATGTTTGCACATGTTTTATATAAGAGACGCATGTACTAACAGAACGTGCAGTTCGTGTCACAATACGCAGTGTGCAAGGCATGTTATAAGAAAACGTTTTAAAATAGCCGGGAAAATCTATAGCATTCGAGCAGAAAGTTGACTGGGTATCGCCGATAGGCATCATCATCCAGTTTGACTTTGTCATGTGACTGGAAGATGTGACTGCGAATCGTTATGGTATTCAATATGCTGATATAACCGGTTCACCAAGTCGGTATTTGTTATAACACGTCAAGGCACTTGGTTGCCACGATAACCAGAAGGACAGTCAGAGCGAACTACAATCCTGGCCAAATCTCGCTGGGCCCCCAACCCCCCAGCCCCCGCTCAATATTGTCTCTCATTGCGCGGTGTGGGCTCCATCCCCTGACGAGAACAACATTGACCGGGGGAGCGGGGGAGTTGGTGACCGTTGGAGGCTAAGGTTATTTTCAAGTGTCCCAACCATTTTGGCCGGGATTGTAGCATAGTACCCTGAATTCATGGGCGTCGCCAGGATTTTTTCTAGAGGGGGTCAAAACATATTTCCTCTAAAAATTTCGATATTTCCCCAACATATTCTCGATTTATCATTTTAAGAGGGGGGCAGGGACATTTGCCCAACCCCCAACATATTAAATTTACAGCAAAATGACTTCGAACCTCTTTTTCCTTTTTTCCCTCTTTTAAGGAGGGGGGGGGGGGGGACAAGCCCCCCCCTTTGCCCTTCCCCTGCAACGCCCATTGAATTTATGAAGGTAAATGGTTGATCATCAGCAGCGCAATACCTATACGCTTATTACAGGCCGATTCATGAACCTTAAAATGAACCTTAAAAGGATTTGGGTGCATAACTGCCCTCTCCTGTTCATTTCGCTGGTCCCAGACGGACAAGCCTATAATCATTGACTGGCTCACTGACTGCAACCTAAGATGCTCAAATACACACGATTATAGGTTGCAACTTAAATTCTTTGGTCTTTCTTTGATTTGTATAGGCCTATATTATGTCAAGTCGCTAGTTTAGTCTGAACTTATTTCTGGTATACAATCACTTACATATTATGGGAAATAGCCTAATGAATTTCAAAAGATAGTTTGAAACAAACCCATTTAATTGTTTTTGCATTCATAATTGTTCATGGACATCAGTGTATATAGGTCGCAAGTATTAGATATGTATTTTGTGTTTTTGTTCGAGGTGATGGGGATATGTATTCAATAAAAGGGTCATGCAATGATTTTTTTTTTTAGATAACCCTTGAAGATACACCCTTCCCATTTAACCTTATTTTCAATTTTCTATATGCAATATTCAAGGGTATTTTGGTGCCTTTTGGTTTATATACTAATGCGAATGTCCATATGTTTTGGTGATTCGTTGTTGTGTTAGTACACGACAGTAACGTATCCAATGGGAGGAGGGGGGGGGGGGAGTCAGAGGGGGCAGTCTGCCCGCCGGCGGATATTTGTTACAATTTTTGTTCAGCAATTATTTCAATAAATGGTTAAGAGTTTTGACATCAATCCTAAAAACGAAACCCCCTTCAACAAACATTACAATGCGCCGTGAAAATGCGGATGTGCTGTTGCCCCCCTGACATCCATAGCTGGATACGCTACTGGTACTGGACATCAAGCACATGAGCAAAATTTTCTCACAAATGTTTTCAATGAGCACATTTTTGCGTTCACATTTGAACAGAAATCCCTTAAAATCTTGAAATCCCAGCAACAGCGCCCACAGTTGTCCGCAAAAAAAGGCTGTCAAATACTTATCATTCATTTATTAAGAGTAACACCAGGCTTCGACATTAGCGGTAGCCCGCTATAGCCAAATGCTAGTCAGAACAGCGGCGAGCAAGTCAAACTATTCCTTAAATAGCTTTTGTTTGCCCCCCCCTCCCCCTAATTAAAAAAAGGGTTCTGAATCCGCCCTTGATGGATTCTATATTTATTCAGGCTCGTATGGATCACATTTTAATAATAAATAATGCAGTTTTTATCAACGGTTATTTTAGATTTGTTTGTAAATGAATATAAGTCCTTCAAGTTTATTCAAACAAAATTGTCCGTCCCAAAAGGCATTGCTCAACGACGGTTTCTGGTATGGAGCTTTGCCCCAAAAGTGGTGCGGCGACGCGGGTTTTCTTTTTCTTATTCTTTAATTTTTTCCCTTCAAAATGTTGGCTGATGACTACAAATGCAAATGTAGTGCAAAATCTATTGGAGCCCAGAGAGGTCACATAGAGCTTATACTCGATCGTAATCCCATCTAAAAACACGTTAAAATTGTGCAGCAGCAGGATTCCAGTCAAATCATTGATTTGGCGGTTTTGAGACATCATCTTATAATTGAAAACAAAATGAACATTTTGCTGACGCGCATGGATACGGCGACGCGCGCGCACACCAGAAACCGGAGGCTTTTATTTTTGACCTAAGTTTATATTTTTTCCATGGTTTTTACCCAATAACCGCCACAAAATTATTTCATAAACGTTCATGCGTGAACGAGTGATCAAGTTCCTTGAGGCCACACGGATGTTTTCGAAGATAAGGGGTCAGTTATTGGCACGATATGTCTCTTTCACGTCAAGAGATTTTTCAGTTTCCAGAAAATTCCGAGGGTGATTTTCTTAAGAAATCAATGTATCAAAACTAATTTAATAAACCCTGACTTTTACACGTTAATTCCCTTTTCGAGGGACCCTGAAGCGCGCCACCAGGGGTTAACTTTCAGGCTCTTTACACGTTTTACGTGTATGCACACTCTTTAAAAGAAAAAAAAAACATGCGGGCTAGTGAAAACACCTGCAGGCTAGTTAATTAGAGTTTGTTTCAGTAGCCCGGCTAGCTGGTGAGAAAAATTAAGGTCGAACCCTGGTAAAATGTACACAAAGTCAGTCAGTACCCAGCCCTGGTTGACCTCAGTTTCTCGTCCCGAGTTCAAGCACGCATGGCCCAAAAGCGTACGCGAAATTTTACGAGATTTATTCGAGACTACAGAAAAACACAAAAAGTGCCTCTATACATGCACTGTTTGGCCAAGATGGTTAGATAAGTGAAAAGTTTTTACGGCCATCGTTTGCTGGCCTCACGTTGCCGTCAGTTGCATGGACGAGGAAATAGAGCAGCTATGCATGACACGACAACTGACTGAAGTGTGTTTCCGAGAAAACAAATCATCTCTGGACCCTTTTATGTTAAATGGAATAGATGACATAATGGGTGTCACTCCCCTGTTAGAAAATAATGAAAGAAATTTACACTTTGTGTTGGCAGGAAAAGGACTTCAATGAGATCAGTCTGGACAAAATAGAAAAGGAATCGGAAATAAGTACTCCTTTCAGTCGAAATACGGTCTGGAAGGCAACATATTTATCACCTTCTGGTCCAAGGACTGTAGCTGTAAAGAACTGTGCTAGGTTCAAGAGGGAAGAAGCGTTGATATTGCAAAAATTACGTCACCCAAACATTATCGAGTTTTTAGGAGTTGCACCTCTGTCTTTTGATGGATTCGCCATTGTGGCTGAGTTTGCTGAAAAAGGATCTGTGTACGAACTCATAAAGCAACATTGTGATGATTGGGCCCACTTCAAAAAGCCTCGCTGGATAAAATGGGCCGTTGAGATGGCACGGGGTTTGCATTACATCCACCAGCAGAAATACCAGCATGGGGATGTGAAATCCCAGAATATGGTCATCACAAGGGACGACACGCTGAAGATCTGTGACTTCGGCACTGCCAGGCATTGTGAGAGTACATTCACTACAGAAAACATCAGGGGATCATGGGCTTGGATGGCCCCAGAGGTCATTGGCGAACGTCATAATTCTCAACCACAGACAAAAGCTAAAGTGACACACAAGTCCGATGTTTTCTCTTACGCTGTCGTTGTTTGGGAGCTTCTCACCGGCAAGGAACCATTTGCTGGGGAAACTACACTCGATTTTATGCAAGCCACCGGAGGCCAACGAAGACGCCTAGAAATCCCAAAAGAATGCCCTCAGACCCTGCGTGACCTCCTAACGAAATGCTGGGATCATGACCACACAAAGCGGCCCAGAATGGATGAGATTTTGAGCCGCTCTGAACTAGGTAGGATAACATTATGCAGTGACTTTGATATAGATAGAATTGCACCAGAGCCTTATAAAGCGCAACAATTAGGTATTATAGGCGCTGGTAATTATGTCTCTTTTCAAAGACAAGTATTAAAAGGAAGTAATGAGCAATAAAGGAAGTAATGAGAAATATGAAGCTCATGAGAAATTATATAGCACCCGGTTTACAAGGTGCTGCGGCGCATCATAATTGCAGCCACTGCCAGAAACACCGGGGCAAACCCCTTCTCTAAGCGATAAGTGTTACTGGGTTCGTTAACGTGCATTACACAACACACGGGACCTACGGCTTTACGTCCCATCCGAAGGACAAAGCAATAACGATTATTAAGTGTCTTGCCCAAGAGCGCAAGCACCATGCTCCCCGTCAGGATTCGAACCCGTGTACCGTACCGCGGCGCACGAGTCGAACACGGTAACCATTGGACCACAGCGCCCAATGTGACTGTAACGTCAAAACTCAACGGAATCAATATGATGTAGCTTATTTTTGTGTGTGAAAACATTTGAAATTTATAATTTTGTAATATTTTGTAACGCTTAGCCCATTTTAGCCCTATGCTTAGCCTGATTGACCTTCGCCATGAATTTGGTGTCCGAAATAAATTCTGTAGAATCTCAATGGTTATAATAGCAGCTTTACTGTTGCAAGTGAGTTTGGTCGGCAAAAAAAAAAAAACGCGTCGAAAATTTCCTTAAAGATAGTTCAAGGTTTAACCATTGAGGAATTCCTTCCTCAATGGTGTAACACAGGCGTTTGCCACAACAAATTTAGCTGAAATTCGGAATATACTTGGATGATATAAGTTTTCAACTACTCGTAAAAACACAACTTGGGGATTCCTAGAAATTGAGATAAATACATAGATTTTGGGACTTTTTCGAACGATTTTTTCCCAACTTTACTTTACCAGTAACCAGTGTTGACATTTCGGCATCGATAACGGCGATTTTTCAACTGACACGAAGTTAAAATGTCTTTTTCCGTTATAATTTAACATTTCAACTACAATTAACATATTTTCTCAGAAACAAAACAGTAATGTTATCGGGGTGCATGCATTTCACTGCTCTATTAAAGCGTCCAAGTACGTGATCGGATTAATTTTGTTTAACAACGGCGACGCCTATTGGCCTCGATCCGCAACAACATGGCTGTACACAGACATTTTGATGTTCGCAGGCAAAACATTTTGAACATCAATTTCTCTCGTTTTAAATAATGTATCTTTAGGCCTCTTTGGAGTTTGTTTTCCATATAATGATCCTACTATGTGCTGAAAATCGTTTTGATATGTTCAGTATTTTTCATTAAAATTGGAAAAATAGGCTTGGGTATACGTCAAAAAGCTGTAGCAAATGGTGTTTGCAATATATGTCAATATTTTCAAGCCTCACGAATATTAATACATTGATTTGGTGTGCAGTAAATGTGTGCACGACCCCCTCCTTCACGAGTTATTAATCAATAAATGTTTACCTTTTTGGCGGGCTTCAATTGATTGATACCGAGACCAACGCTAAGTCGCCCAGAGTCACGCTAATGAATTTGCTAATAACGCGCCCGTCACCGTTGGGACCAAAATTCGAAATTTACATTGGTAGTAGAACAGGGTGATGTAATGCAAGCGTTTGCAAAAATAGATCTAACTGAAATTTGGAACATGATTAGATGGTATTAGTGATCAACTACTCGTGAAATCAAAACTGGTAAGGATTCCTAAAAAGTGAGATAGGTAAATAGATTCGGGGATTTTTTTAGATGATTTTTTTCACGACTTTTAGGTCAGCTTTACCAGTGACCAGTATTGACGTTTCGGCATCAATAACGGCGATTTGTTTCACTGACCTGAAGTTTAGGATTTCTTCTACTGTTCTAATTTAACATTTCGATCACACTGAGCATCTTTTTGAAACACATAACGTTCAAAACACGGGTTTTTTTTTTTGGGGGGGGGGGATGGGAGGGGGTGCAATCAGTTCACTGCTCTGCCTGTGAAGACCAGTTACGTAATCCGATTAACTTTGCTTATCAACCCACGATGCAAAGCCTTCGCAACCGTATAAGGCTTGCGAAACACCGGTATGAACACACAGACATGTGCAGGAGCATTTTGTACGAACAGCAGGACATTTGCATTGTAGCCCGAACCTGTCAAGTATCCACGTTGGATTTAAATTTATGATAACACGACCAACTACAACGGTTGTCGGCATTAAAAGTAGCTGTTTATTTTCACTTTTTTTGCAATATTGTCTTTGTTTGGGGTCGATTCAGTTAAAATCCCAAGTTGTTACAAAATCACAAAAAACGATGATTAGGCACGAGTAGTGGGTACAACGCCCTTTGGTGGTAACGTATGAAGCCCAAGATTGTTGAGTTAGATGTATGTTGGTCCAAAAGAATGTTTGTACTAAATGTGAAAGCGTTTGCATGAAACATGGAGAAATTGTGCAAAAAAAAAAAGTACCGTGTCTGATCAAAACTGTCAAAATACAGTAAAGCACCCTCTTGTGGTCATTGCAGTACAAGCACATGAGAACGTAATCTTAATTTGTTTGGAAAAATCGGCCTTCGCAATGTGCCCCCCCCCCGTTGTGAGAAGGCTCAATAATTTACCGTATAGTCTTATAAAGCTTAAAATATCGAATCCCATTTCCTTGCTGCGAACCTGCTGACGATATAGTGCAATAGGCTGTTTTCAACTGTAAAAACATCTTAACTATTTGTATTTCTTGTGTTTTTTCATGACATGATAATATTGTTTGCACGACAGCGCTATTGTCGGGAGAATGGACTACTTGTGCAATTTCCAAAAGGCCCCCACAGCACGACTTCCAAATTTCTCAAAGTGGTTCGTTGGAACCAATTGGAGAAGGTGAGTAGCTGTGCCCCTCTTTGATCACGAAAACAGTTTCTAATTTTTTTTAGGAGTTGGTACGAGTGCCAGATTCTAATTCGCAGTTAAAAAAAAAATGTTTTCGTTTAATGTTTCCAAATATATGGAGCCCCAAAAGTGGACAACTCAACTTTGTCATTTTCTGCTAACAGAAATTTAGGGTTTTTATTGTCGCGCAAACTCAGTGTTATAAAAATAATGTCAATTTTCCTCCAGCAAATATTTGGATTTTTCTTTGACAACTTTTTTGGCGCCCAAAAAGTGAACAACAAAAATTCCCAAATTTCCACGAGCAGAATTGTATGATGCCCCAATAGTTGACAACCTCAATTTCCTATTTTCTGTGAGCAGAATTTCTGATTGTTGAAGTCTCGCAAACTGTTGTTGCCTGTCAAAATTGTCAGTTTTCTGTCAGCAAAATTCTGGATTTTACTTTGACGATCCTTTCGGGGCCCCAAATGTTGAGATTTTTAGCTGTCCACTTTTAAAAGTTTTCCACTTTTAAAAGTGGACAACTAAAAATCTCAAATTCCCACTAGCAGAAATAAGTGAGTTCAACGTAGGTCTATCACTGAATCAAAAATCTCACATTTTGCAAATTTCGAAATCTGGTCGTGGACCGAACGTTGACAAAAAAAAAAAAAAAAAGTAGAGCGTTTTGGCAGAAACCAGAACTACAAGCAGAAACTGGTCGTAGACTTATTTACTCGAAAGTGGTTTAGACGAGACATAATATTACACCACTCTGTTTCTATGAGAGTTGCAGTTTAAAGGCTCCTCCTCTTGTTTTACGCAACTCAATGAATAAATCAGTGGCCATATTATACTTTCCCCGAATATTTTATGTTCTCCATCGGAGAAAGATTGTTGCATAATGAAGCCACTTGTATATACCAATCAAGCTCAATCATTGCAAACATGTAGAGAACAAGAATCTGGGACTGGGGAACATTTAAAACATTTTCAGATAAAACAGTTTTTTTCCAGTAAGAATTGGCTTTTTCGTTTGTCCAATTTTGGTCCTCGACTAATTATTTCACTTGGCACAAAATAGGAGACTTTGATTTTTGCGAAACGCTCAACCCAAATTTCTGCAAGTGGAATTTTGAAAATTTTAGTTGTCTACTTTTTGGACGCCAAAAGAGTCGTCAAAGTAAATTCCAAAGTTCTGCCAGCAGAAAACTGATATTTAAAAAAAAGATTGCGCGACTTCCGTGAAAAAAAAAACCACCAAAAATGCTGCTGGCAGATAATTGGAAAATTGGGCTGTTCACTTTTGGAGCTCCATAATTACCTTTAAATGTATGTGACATTTCCACAAAGTGATCACACAATTAACAAATCGGTCACCTTGGTCTGCAGAGGAAAATCTGTCTTTGTACACCTGCCAGATTTATTCCTTTTATCATTTTTATGCTTTACATTTTTCATATTTCATTTTATACATGAACTTATATTTTTTTCGAGATGGCTGCGGCTGTACAGTTGTTTTACTGACTTAACAAGTTGTGAAATTAGCCGAGAAAAGCCTTTATTTAACAATCGGACAACGCGTTTCGGATTACCTACATTTTATTAAGAAAATAAACATGCATCCGCATTAGAGTCAAAATATATCTGACATTTTTTTTCCATTAATTTCAAACTCGTTTAGTCTCTAGTAGTATTCGTGGGCCTGAGTGGGGCTCATTATCCCGGATGATGTAAAAAACAACAACATTGTTTGAGATTTCAGATTTTTCCCTCCTATTTTTATCATCATACCAAATTGTTACGAACAAAAAGAAAAGACTTCAAGGAAAATAAACATGTTTGGATAACGAAAGACTGGTTAGTAAGTGAACGAATTTACAGTTGTAACGTCGTTATTTATTGATCAATTGCTATTTTTCAACTTGTTTTTCCAGTCTCAAAAACACCAAGCTGTACTGAACTAAAAAAAAATGAAGCAGGCGTTAGCCTTCGATATGGGCGAGGAGACAGAACCGTAGTTCCACAATCACGCGAATCACATAAGGCCTCTGAGTGCCGTCGGTTCATATGGATAATCATTTGTTAATTGAGAAAGAAAGAAACTAAATACGATTTTTGTACCAATGTTAAATTGCTAAATGGTCGACATTATTTGAAGAACGTCGAAGGTTTTTGTTTCTGAGATATTATTTGACAGACAGTTCGATGAAGTGCCGTGTGTGTATACATGTCAATTTTCACAAATCCGATGTAGGCCTAGTATAAGTGTTCCCGACCAAATTTCCTAAAATGTTCATGCAGTTCTGAAAATCGGTCATTCATTTTCGTCTGAATTTGAGAATCGCTCTAAACACGCGTTTCATTTTCGCTACCAGAGCATTCGATTCCACTTCAGTTCAATCAGTTAAGTGATTGAGCAGCACCTTTCGTTTATGTCCATTCAGATTCGTTTAAAAGATTTCTTTTTCCTTTTTAGATGGCGATTTCAAATATTCACTATTCTATTTCACTTTTAGTTCAATGCCATCGGTACCAGATATAACTAGGGGTTTCTTTTTCATTAACCGTCAATCAAATTAGCTGTACCTGAAATTAATTTAGAAAAGAAATGCTTGCGTAAATGAATGCACAGGTAACGTAATTGGCCGTCTGTTTCTCAAATCCGAATGCACGGACAATGAAAACGATTGAAATTTCGTTGAAATGAAATGGGATAAGACGTGCATTCAAATTCAGACGAAAATGAATGACCGATTGTCAGAAGTGAATAAACATTTCAGGAAATTGGCCTGGAAAACCTAGAGTAATTCCATATTTTAGCTGCTGCGCTGCTTATCTCCCTAATTCTAATTAACCTTTCACAATTTTGCAATTGCAGCACTGAAACACGTTGCACTTGACGACTACACGGCACAAAAGGAAGACGAGTTTGGTTGTACTGCCTCACATGATACACCGCCCTCGGAGAGTGAGAAGGAGATGATACGACCGGTATGTAATATCGACCGGTGATGTAATAATTTCTGATTTTTTTTTGTATTTTCGAACAGTTTGGGAACTTAGTTTATTTGCGACTTTTATGGGTCATCCTGCCAATACGTTTTCCGGCAACTTTCACAAAGTTTTCATTCAATTTAATGCCTAGCACATTCAATTGAGATTGAAATTGAAAATTTACGCAGACAATCTAAAAGAATTTCACTAATTCAATTCATTCAATTTCACTATCCGAGCATTCTATCGTCGCACATGAGCAAGGGGTTGACCAGGCGTTTATTTTCATTAATGGGCAAACATTGCACAGTTTGTCAAGTATGCATTTCGCATTCCAAATCTTAGTTATATCATGGCTGATGGTAGTCAATGTTATAGACCATGGCATGGTTTGTAACGTTTGAGCAGATTCGCTAATTAATTATGCAAGACAACCGCAGCTTGACCTCTAGATTTTGACTAATCAGTGGGCGCTTTCTATATCGGGTCTTCAGTCATTCACCGTTGTCGTGTCATAGACAGATAAAAAACACCCTACACACAGCAAGAAAAGGGCTGTGGTCACGCACTTTATATTATGTTACGCGATATACGCGCCCGGTTGTATTCAAAACACTGCATTCGAATTGGCCAATCACATGTTAAGTCCTCATTTTGGAATAAAATGACCTCACGATTTAGTAAAGTTGACTCCAATTGGCTGAGGTGCGAAATTGCATAAATCTGCATGCTTTGACATATCAGACGTTATACAGGAGATTTGGCTCCGTGGATAACGGGTGATACTCAGACTAACCTGACGGTACAACCATTACCAATCATACTGCCCCGATATGTCTTGTACGCCCGGATCGGATCGATGGGTGAATCAGCGATGAATAAAAAAGTGACAACAATTGAACAAATGGAACGGTAAACAAAGTTAAAAGATGAATAAATATGTCAATATATAAAATGCCCGTAATTTTGTTCAAACTTTCAAAGTTTCAAGTGGAGAAGATCAACAGTGAAAGCGTAGAAACCCTTATCCCTTTTCGTTTCATTATTTGGTTACATCGTCTATCCCTCATAATTATCAAATAATTTGTTACACTATACTTTTAACAGTCACAAAGATTTTGACGAAAATAGGAACATTATATGAAATTAAAAACCGTCTTAATTTGAAAGATCAAACGATGAAAACGATGGTCCATAAACGAATAAGAAAAGCGTGGTAATGGTAACCTATGGAATTTAGTGATATAGTCTTTGTGATGTTTGACTATACTATATGTTAGGAATAGTAGCTGTGACTAAGAGCAGGATCAACGATGACTACGAAGACTATACAAAGACTCACTGGTAATGACTATGAGCTTAGCTAAATGGAAAACTTGTTTATTTTCAAGAACTACCGGTATTGTGTATGTACAGAACTATAACCTCAGACCATACGGCTGAATCAGCTTATGGATATGGCTGGGTAACAGAATACAGAATTTGGAGACAGAATACAGAAGACAGAGGTTCTGAAGAGTTGAACGAAGTGGGAAAACGTGGACCTTTTATACAATTTCCGAGGGGCAACTTTGAGTGAAAATAGGAGATGATGTCATTAAGGGAAAACATAACTTATATGACATCATTTCTGAATAAAGATAGACTGACCATGGACTGACGTAATGGTCAGTCCGGGGGAGTACCCTTATGAGGTCATTTCACCCATGTACAAGGGTGCAATCACAGTCTTGGAAGCTGTGGGTGTATTGCTTGGAAAAGAGTGACGTGAAGACCTTGGAGTGTAATGTGGAACACATGTTGTGAGAGTGGTAGTACGGGTGTTCAGGGACAGTACAAATTTCGGTCTTACAGTATACGTCATATGCGCAGCGACATTTGCCAATTTGAACGCGTCAACAATCAAAGGTGTCAATAAATTAATTTAATCATGCTTCAAATTAAATCTTAAATGCATTAAAGCGAAATGGAATGCCCCCAAACGAATACGAACGTTACAAGCAAAATCTTTAAAAAATGAAATTGAATGCCCCAAGGATGAAAAAGGAACCCAAATTTGATCTGATGTATAAAAATCAAGCACAATTGATTGGCTGATAATGAAAATGATCAGAAAATTTTGGGAATTGGCCGGGAAAACATATTACACGTATTAAACGTTCGGGTTTCTTATTGAGTGGGCACAACCCTGCAGAAACTGGTTTAGAACGGATATTTCTTTGTTTCCAGGCAATTGGTCCCCACAACGTTTATTCATCAAAGCAGGAATTTCAAACTCCGATTGAACATCAATCGTGATACAGATGAGTCTAGATATTACGTTGACGTCACTGCGATCATCGATCCTTTGTTCAAACTTCAACTTTTTTTGCAAGAGCTCTCATAGGTTTTATACACGTTTTGTAATATAGATCATCCTCGATTTGACTGCTGTCCTCAATTACACAAGGATGTTTCACATGTGTGTTCTCGACCATAAACATGCACAGTATATACTCTCGATATCTGCATGCATGCACGCATGTTTACACGCACACAAGTTTGTTTGTGGTGTAAATTTAGGATTTTCTATTGTTCATCATCATCGATCTTTTGCTTATACCCCAACTTTTTTGCAATATATCCCATTGGTTTTGTATACATTTTCTATAATGGGGGACGTCCTTGATTCCTGTCTTCAGTTACTCGACGATGCTTCACATGTGTGTCCTCGATTTACATCATAAACAGACGCACGCTGCAATACACACATTACATAAAGAAAGAAAAAAAATGACGTAAATTAATTTCTTTCAATTCAGAATGGCTATTCACTGGAAAACATCTTTATGCATATATGGATTTCACAATGGTTTGGGCTTAACTTATTCATTGGCATTAAAACTGGTAATCCTATTTCAAACGATTGGGTCAAACCTAATTCAAAAGTTACACTGAATGAGGGAGTCAGTGAATAATTGAGTATATGCCTCCACATCTGGGGCAAAACCCGACAAAATATACGTCATAGCCTTTATTCACGAGTCGGCCATATTAAATTAAAAGCGAGGTACAATCTTTAATTTTGGAACTTGCGAATAGAAATGAAAGCAATGGCATAAAATTACAACTTAATACCAGTCTGCTACGATGAATAATTTAACATTTGTGATTTAACAAACCCTAATGTTTGAAGCCATAAAAAAAAACTAAATACAAAAACTTAATGCTTGGAACGCATGAAAAGTCTGGCAGCATCCCATTCAACAGTTTACAATTTATAAAATACATTCAGGAAACACGATCAAAAATGGCTTCCTGGTGAATAAGGTATATTGAAGCGTTGGTTCGTTATTTGTTCATTTATAGGTGAAGTTTGGACATAGCATGCCCGTCACGAGTACCGCCAGCGCCAGTGACAACCCCAAAAGTGTGGTCAGATATGCCGAACAGCTTTGCCGGAGCTCTCAAATGGTATATTCAGAGGATGGGTACCCTATTGTTTTCTTGGTTCATTTAAAAAGGGAGTTTGTTTCTACGAAACAAGCATTCCGTAGTTACAGTTGCGGTGTGCGATCGGGGATGCCCTCGCCTCACAAGGTAATATTGGTCGTTGGTGCTATAGGCACCGGTAAGAGTACCCTAATCAATGCCATGGCCAATTACGTCTTAGGGGTGAAGTGGGAGGATAACTTTAGATTCGAGCTGGTAGACGAACGAGGGGAAGCGCCTCAATCACAGGCTCACAGCCAAACACAAAATGTAACATCGTACACAATCAACAGCAATGATCATATCAAAGGTCGACCCTACACGTTGACAATCATTGACACACCAGGGTTTGGGGATACTAGAGGTAATGAGGGCGATACAGCTATTGTTGATAAGATCAAGGAATTTTTCACTCATCCTAAAGAACATGGTGTGGAACACATTGATGCTGTAGGTTTTGTTGTTCAGTCTTCACAAGCACGTCTAACCGCAACACAAAGGTATATCTTCGAGTCAATGCTTGCCGTTTTTGGTATAGAAATTAAGCCCAATATATTGCTGTTGATCACCTTTTGTGACGGGTCACCACCGAAAGTCCTCGATGCAGTTGAAGAGGCAAAGCTACCTTTCGGTAGTACGTTCACGTTCAACAACTCGGCAGTATTTGCCAGTCGAGGAAACTCGCTTAGTGCAGCGTTCTGGTGTATGGGTTATAAAAGTATGAATTTGTTTTTTGATGCTCTTGACGGCCTACAGCCGCGAAGTCTTAGGCTTACACTAGACGTTCTTGCGGAACGAAAATGTCTGGAGATTGCTCTGAAAGGGTTGCAGCCTCAGATTCAATTCGCTTGTGAACAAACAGAGCAGCTAAATAAAGACAAAAAAATGCTTGAAGAACATGAACAGGAAATAGAGGCAAGTAAATCTTTCGAATACGAGGCTGACGTTGCGAAACTTGAACAAATTCCAGATCCTGACAAGGGCTCCACGAATTGCTCAAAATGCCTCTACTCCTGTCATTACCCATGCACCTTCTCCCGAGCAAAGTTTTGGTGCCATGCAATGTCTTGGGGCAATTGCACTGTGTGTCCTGGCAAGTGTTCCTCGGGCAACCACGTTCACGAGAACTTCAGATATAAATGGAAAATGGTGAGAGAGAAACAAACTTTCGCTGATATCGAGAACCGATACAGAGACGCAAAGGGGCGAAAACAAACTCGTGAAGAAGTGATCAAAAAAGTTGAAGCTGATCTGGCTCAATCGGAAGCAGCTGTGTCTGAGTTGATCGATGAGTCTCACCGTTGTACCCAGCGCCTGGAAAAGATTGCCCTCAAGCCTAATCCCATAGGAATAAAAGAGTACATAGACCTATTGATTGAATCGGAGAAGGCAACAAAAAATCCAGGTTGGGAGAAAAGAGTTGGGTCTCTGAAAGCGACAAAACAAAGAGAAAAAATTAGGGCTGTAGTTAAAAATGCAGCTGAGTCAGACAATGTGACGGTAAACTTTTGGAACACAGTAATTAAACCATTTAAGAAGACCTAGAT